CGATTGAAAATGGAGATGTGCTTTGTAAATTGTCAAGTGTCGATGAGAGGCACGTTCTGGACTCCTCCGTCCCGGGTCCCGCCGCGGAGAGGGGGCGTGTGGAGCGCCCGGCTTGCCATGTTCCCTCCCAGACGACGTTCCCCTCCACAGACAGCCCACAAGGTGACGTGGGAAGAGCGCAGGGCAGAACAGCCCGTCCGAGACACCCACTCCCGCCCCCGCGCCCCTGCGCACGCAGCCAAGGACCCAGACTGACAAATGACTCCGACACACAAACACCCGGGGCCGGGGGAGTAACAGCCCTGCCCGCGGGTGCTGGATCAGAGACCAGGCGGCCAGCGGGGGCCACGGGGGAGGGAGCGTCCCTCCACCCGGCCTCAGCCATCTGCTGCAGTTGCCTGAAATGGTGTCATGGACCCCTCCCCATGTTTGAGCACTTGCTGTATACCTGATTCTTACAGATACCAGTTTTCAGTCTTAAATGCTTGTGAAGAAGCCTGTGTCCACAGGAGGAAACCAGGGCTTCTGGGGGTTAATTATTGTTGATTATCACCATTATTAGGTAATCCATGCAAGGTCACACAGTCATCAATATCAGTCCCCATCACAACCACGGCGATGACCACTGACCCTGCCCCAGCCCGGAGGCTGCAGAAGCACCCGTGCTGGATCCGGCCTCCCATGCCCAACCCCCAGGCCCCCCTCAGAGCACAGCCTGTCCTTCCCCTGGGCCAACCCCGGGTGATGAAGGGACGCCCAGCAAATGGCCCGGACACACTGCGTCCGATCTATTTTCGGCTGCAGACCCTTCACCTCAAGTGAAGTCTGACACCTGTGCCCGCACCAGCCTCCTTCCTTTCCTGGCCTTTTCTGCCATCAGAGGGGTCCCCAGCCACCTCTGGGGAGGGACGAGCTGCAGAAGGACTTCCTCATCCTCCAGCCGAGGTGTCGGCTGTGGGCCAGTGCTGCCTGGTAGCCTGCAGCAGGCGGCCGCCCTCTCTGGCTCGGTGACCGGCTCGAGGGCAGGGCCTCTTGCCTGCCGTGGGTGCGCCCCGGGCCTTTCCCTGCCGGCCCCGAGGACGTCCCTCCTTCTCTGCCCCTCTCCCCAAGTCCTGTCCCCAACCTTTGTGTAGCAGGATCCGCACTCGGGCATGTCCGGATTCCCGCCTTGCCACCATGACTGAGCTAGGCCCGTCCTCACCTGTCCTCTCCCGGTCCAGCCCTGTGCTGTCATGGCTGCTGGCCACATGTGGCTACTGAGCATCTGCAACGTGACCGGCCCAAATCCAGATGTACTTTCAGCGTAAATCTTTAAGACACACCAGTTTTAAGAGTTAGTACAAAGAAAGAATGCAAAATATCTCAATCATTTCATATGCATTATATGTTGAAGTGATAATTTTTTCGATATGTTGGGTTAAATGTATTATTAAAAGTGATTTTACTTATGCTTTATTTTATGCGGCTAGCAGAAAGTTTGAAATCAGAGGAGGGAAAAGTTTTGGCCTCAGTGCCTGCAGCTGGGCCTCAGGGATGGGGGGTTTGGGGGTCCCCGGCTCTGCTTTGCTGCTGATTTTCTGCCTCAGCATCTACACGACCAGCATTCGTTTCCTTCCAAAACCTCAGCTTGGTCCCTATGAGAAGTACACACTCCCCTGTTAGTGTGGTACTGGCCCTATTTCCCTTGGGGCTGGCGTGTGGGGCTGGCGCGTGGCTACCTGCCCCTCACTCGTAGGCAGGTACGAATGACTGACAGTGGCACCTTGCACAGCTGGCTGGCACCAAGCTTTCCCCAGGCTAGCCCAGCAGCCTGTCTCTCCCTTGCTGGCCCAGGGTCCCAGGCAGCAGTGTGTCCTGCACTCAACAGATGCGGGACCATGTGTAGACAAGAAAGAAAACAGAAGCCATGCCCCATGGATTCTGGGGGTCTGTCCACACCAGCAGCCTCTGTCCCCGGCTGCTGGAAGGCACATCTGTACTTATTATCCAACACTCGTGGATGCCAAGGGAGACAGAACTGGGTTCACCCTCCAACCACCTTCTATGATGCCCACCCAGGCCGGCGGGCATAAAAGCAAGCGCCCAAGCTCAGCCCAAAGAACCCGCACACTAAGGACCCTCAGAGGGGTCCAGGGCACAGGGATGCTGGGGTGCGGACAGGCCTGGAGTGATGGAGGCTGGGACATGCTGAGACCAGGGAGCCTCGCCACCAAAGGTCCAGCACCCAGATCTCCAGGACAACTCTGGGGGCCAGGGGGCAGCTCCAGCAGCAAGAAAGGAGCCAGTCAGGAGGCAGGATGGCAGGAGAGCGGGTTGAGCCAGGTGGTGCCAGGCTCTGGAAGCCAAACTCAGAAGTCTGGACTGGATCTGGACAGCAACTGAGAGTTTCTGAGCAAAGCCACGCTGTTCTCAGAGCCATACAGAGGCTGGAAGTTCTGTCCTTCCTAAATGGGTGTGCCTGGAGGAGCTGGAGGACAGAGATGGCCTGTGAGTGACTCACCTGGGTGCCCATCGGTGCACCGAGCCAGCCAGCAAGTGGGCGGGCGAGGCTCGTCAACGATATCGGCCAAGCCAACGCTGGCCAAGTGGTCAGGCGCGGCAGGCGGCCGTCTGTGGGTGGTTCTGCACGCATGACCTTATTTAATCTGCACGGCTAGGCAGGGAGGTGGCACCAAGCAGTGGAGGACCGATGGGCTTCTTGAATGCACAAGGAAGTGAATGAATAAGCGAATGTTGGCTGAGGACTATAATCCCCAGTTCTCACATTATTTATTGAACGCATTGCACTAAATTGCACTGCATGATCAGGGCAGTGGATTTGATTCTGAATTGAGGCCCCCTTTAGAGGCGTACAGAAGCCTGTGGAATGCGTGTTATGGGGCCCCTGCAATGTGCAGAGGCTGTGAAGGCGGAGGGGGTCACAGGCTGGGCGCAGGACACAGGGCCCTGGCCCTGGGGACAGAAGTCGGCCCGGCATTCCCAAGCCTACCCCTACAAGTGCCCCTCCACACCTCTCCTGGGTCCCCTACTGCAAGCTCCCTCCTGCTGGCTCCAGACTCTCTCTCCCCATCCTGGAATTAATAAAGACTCCAAGCAGACTGCGGTTTGCAAGTCTGAAAGCTGGTTCCTGCCCACGTCACTGCCCCGAGAGGAATGGGGCCCAGCTCCCCCCAGAACCCCCTTCTTTCCCCTTCCTGGGAGAGGCAGGCACATAGGCGCACCCCAACCACCCCCTGCCCCACTGTAGGCACGTCCTAGGCATCAATCCTCAGACCCTGCCCCAGAGTGCCCTACCCCCACCCACAAGAGGCTTGGAGGGCTTCAGCCCCCCAAAATCTCCATCTCCATCAGCTGCCCCCAAATAAACCCACACTGTAAGGAAGAGCTCGGAGGCTTATTGCAAAGATAAATGCAATTCGGTCATATATTTCTGCCTGCCAGATCAAAAATCCTCTGTGCTCATCTGGTACTAGTGCTGGCATTAATACTACCATCGCATCCACTAGTTCTGCAAGCACCACTCCTGTTTTTACGGTAGCTTGCAAGTGTGGCTCTATACTGGCCGCCCTGGGACCCTGGACCACCCCTCCTTCTCCCTAGGTCTCTGGTGTTGGCAGCTCCAGACTTCTGGCAGGCACGGTGCAGAAATATATGACCGAATTGCATTTATCTTTGCAATAACCCTCCGAGCCAGGGATGTTTCTCACCCTTTGACAGACTAGGAAAATGAAGCTCTATGGAGAGGTTGCCCCCTGCCCCTGCCAGAAAGTGCTAGAGCCAGAATTTAGTCCTATGTCCACCTAAGTCCAATGCCTGCCCTTGACCTGTCTACTGCTGGCCACCCCTGCGGGAGCTCCAGACCGCCACCATGCTCCTGGCTGGATGACGGGTGTCCAAGTCGTCCCTCAGAGCCCTGTCGGTGCAGGGAAAAGCCCACAGGACACATGGCCTCTATTTGTCCCCCAACTGGCTGTGACCTAGGACAAGCAACCAGTTTCCTTCTCCTATCCTCTGACTCCCACATTTCTGACAAATCAGCAAAGGGGGCATGACCAACCTTGCCCCACTCCACAGCCCACCCCCCAAAAAACCCAGGGTCCCTGTCCTGCTCAGGTTACAGGCAGGACCGGCTCAGCGATCTCCTGCGATGCTGTCCCAGCTGCTTCAGAGCAGGTCGCCCCCTCCTGGCCACTAGAGGAATGTCAGTCCTGGCCCGTCCCAGAGGGGCTGGGAGAACCTGCAGTCTGGGGGCTCCCAGGTCCCGCCTGGGTGCTAGGGGTGCTCAGTTATGGGGTGGGTGGCGACCTGGTGATAATGAGGAGTCAAGCTGCCTGTTTGTCTACATGGGGCTCCCGTCTCCCTCTTATCAATCGGGGAACCTGGGAGTCCAGCCTGACCTTTGCCAGACAGAGCTGGATGTGGGGCTAGGATGTGGGGCTTGGCCCATGCAGCATTGAGTCTGTGTGACAGGGTCCTCCACATGCCCCAGATACCTCGGGGGACAACACCCGCATGGCCTTAACTTCCAGGCCAGAGCCCCCTGGCCTCTGCACACATGGAGCCCAGACCTGCCCAACACCCCTCCCCAGCTGCAGGCAGGAGGCTGAGCCCTTGGTCCCCGCAGAATGGAGCCCTGCAGTGTGTCAGTGTCCCCCTCCCATGCCCTGGATGCTCCACAAAGCAACACCAACCCGATCTTACCTCCCAGGCCATTCTGTCTGCAGCCCCTCAACCCCTGCAGACATTAGCCCCCCAGAACCCACAGCCCCGCCCAACACCTCCCCTCCCCAGCTTTGGGCAGAACCTGTCTCTAGCCAGGCCTGGGGGTGCTGGGGAGTCTGGAGGGCTGGGGTGGGGGCCGAGGCGCGGGACAGCTGGCCTGTGTCCCCACACTGGGCCCGGGGCCCAGCCGGAGGGGCGGGGGCCTGGCCGCTCAGGCCTTGGCTGGGGCTGGGATTTTTGGCTGGGCCGCCGGGCCCTCCCTCCCGCTTCCTCTCCCGAGGGCTGTCCTGGCAGAGGCCCCCCTCGCACTTTCTGGCGGGAACAGGGCCAGCAGCGAGAGAACAGCCACAGAGGGAAAGCGGGAAAGAGCCGGGAAGAGTGAGTGTGCGTGTGTGCGCGTGTGTGTGTGCGTGTGTGTGCAGGAAAGAGCCCACAGCTCGTGCGACCCGCGGGCAAGCTGCGCCTTTCGAAACTGCCCCTCCCGCACCCCCCCCAGCCCGCCCTCCCCGCCCTCCCTCCCTCCTTCCCTCCAGCCGACCAGGCAGCAATTACGCTTTGGGGATAAAACGAGGCTCGGAGAGCGGGCTGGGGCATTTCTCCCCGAGATGGCGGGTCTGACGGCGGCAGCCCTGCGGCCCGGAGTCCTGCTGCTCCTGCTGTCTGTCCTCCACTCCTCTCGGTCCGGAGGTAAGGGCCCCTCGCTCCGTCCCTGTGCTGCGGCCGCTGGACTCACCAGAGGGATCCCCTGCCCGGCTCCTCCCAGGATCCCAGGCAGGACCCCCTTTGGCCACTGCCTCCCCACAGGAGCCAGTCCCGTGCCGAGGAGGAACCTGTCAAATGGTCACCCCTGACTCAGGAGCGTCCCGACCCAGTGTCCAGGCTTTGCTGCCCTGCAAGGGCTGAGGAACCCCCGCTCTGCCTGGGTGCCCTACCCATGGGGGGCCCAGAGCACACCAGGGAAGGGCCCCCCAAGATCCTGTTGGCCTGGGGACACTGGTGATTTGCACACCTGTGGACCCGGGGCGAGGGGGGTGCCAGCCCTGGGTTTGAGAGTGGCTCAGCTGCAGGGAGCCGTGTAACCTCAGCAGGTTCCTCGACTCCTGGGACGCGAGGATCCCCCTCTGAGGAAGGTCAGGGTTACACGGATTATGGGATTGCAGGTTGAAAAGATGCTGCCGTGGTCTATCCCTGTGAGGAGGGCTGGGATTCCTGAGTGTGTGTGCATGTGCGTGTGCGTGCATGAACAAGCATGCTGTGTGTTCTTGCACAGGTGCACATATGTGCATATGCCCAAATATGTCACTGAATGGCGGAGGGGTGGCAGGGAGGGTATGGATGTCAGTCCACAGGTCCCTCCCTAGACAGGCATGTGTGTACATATGGGAGCGGTACGTGAAGGTGCCTGTTAGTGTGTACAGACGTCCCACCCGACAGACGTACGCCTGGGAGATCTGGTGTCCAGGTGTGTCACTGGGTATAGATTGTCACTGCGCGTGTGACTGAGTGCGTGTATGTGTGTGATGTGGAACACGAGCACAGAAAGGCAAGCTGGGGGAGGTATCTGTCTCCTGTTGAGAGAGTGCAGCTGGGAGTGGAGGCTGGAGTGGACCTTAGGTCATTGCTGGACCATCTGGTATGTGCCCCGACTAGGCACAGCTGGGGATTGGGCTCAAACGTGCCCCCTATGCAGTGGCCAACGGGGGGAGGGGCATGGAAGGTGCGTCCGGGCCACGGGAAGAGACAGGAGCAGCTCATGGGCCATTTGGTTGGGGGAGCCTGGGCGGGGTCTGGTTGCCATGGGAGTCCTCCTTGCTGTGAGAACCAGACCTCCAGTGGGGGGGGCTGCAGGGTGGAGCAGGGAGCCGGGGGGCTGGGCAGGAGCAGCAGCTGCTTCCGCGAGATTGACCGGCTGGGCTGCTGCTGGGGGCAGGAGCTTCCTATGCAGGGTCCGCTCCCAGACCTGGACGCGGCCAGGGGACTCGGGCACCAGCAGCGAGGCCCTGCAGGGGCGGCGCACCAGTGCTTCAGGGCAGCAGTTCTGGCCTGTGCGCAGCTCCTCCCCAGGGGGACCCCACACCTGCCCACCCTCCTTCCAGACGGCGCTGCCACCCATAGCACAGCAGGGGACCCTCACAAGAACTTGGGAGTCAGGACTTAGCATCACTTTACAAATGAGGAAGCAGGCGGGGCAGGCCAAGGCAGCCCCTGAGGGTTGGTACCAGCCAGCTCTCTGCCAGAAGTGGGAAGGTGAGAGTGAGGAACCAGACGGCATTTGGGGAGGGGCAGGCCTGGGGCAGAGCAAACCCACTCCTGGCATCCTCAGTGACACCACTGGACACTCAGCTGGCCTTGGTCTTTGCAAAGCTCAGCTCTGTCTCAGGTGGCTGGACTGGAGGGTCCAAATAAGGATCATAGGAATGGGTGAGGTCTCCCAGGTGTTTGCGGAGATTGGGGACACACTCACTGCCACCCCTCTGGCTGTCCTGGGGGAGCCCAGCTTCCCCACAAATGTTACTTACTGGTGTTCCCCCAGCTCCAAGGAACCCTGTCGCAGTGGGGGAAGGAGGGGCAATGGGAGAGCTTCCAGGAAAGAACAAGCTGCCCAGCCCCCCACACTGTTTAAAAAGAGAACCTGAGACATTAAACCAGGTATAATTCTCTCTGCATCCCCCAGAAATAGTATCAGCTTTCTTTTTCCTGATTTCAGAATCAAAGATGGTTGGGAAAAGAGGTTTTCAACCTGCCTAGGTATTAGAGTTCCCACCCAAGAATTCCTGCTTGACTTGGTCTGGGGAGGGGCCAGGACACGGGGACTTTTAAAGCTCCCAGGTGACTGATGAACCGCCAGGGCTGAGAAGCTGGGATTTAGAGGTTGATCCGCTCTGTGCGTCTGCTCGGGCCTTGGCAGGAGGGCCGATGTGTCCCCGTGTGGGAGGGGACAGAGTCACCTACCAAAGGTCAGATTGTTTTTGAAAAACCCCTGGCAGCCTTCTCCATGCAAACAACAAACAGCCCCATGCAGTCTTATCTGCTCTCCAAGCCAGCCCCCTGGACTTTGGCTTGGCAAAGCCCCCTGCCAAGGCCGGCTGGCCTGCTGCCCCCAGCTCTTTGAACCTGGAGCCCAGGCCGCGGGCAGAAGGCCCCGCATGTGACTGGGGTCAGCTGTGGGTGTTCAGCCAGGCGCTTCAACTCACTGGCTGTCTGTCTCCCTGGCTACAAAACGGGGAGGAACATCCCTGCCCAAAGTATCTCCTAGGGCCAGTAGGAGGTTCCAACAACATGATATCTGCAAAAAAAAAAATGCATCATATAAGAGGACCATGGGAATATCAATTTTTGAAATGGTATATTCTTTTATTCAGAATTTGCTAACTAACTCAGGCTGTAATTAGTGCACATTTCTAAGGTTTAATTCACCCTCTTGCTATTCATGCCATGTTTGGTCTCATGGGGGGGCAGCTGGTATGTAAATAGATGTGCAGTGATGCAGGGAGTGGGCAGGACTGGGGGAGGGGATGGCCTGGAGGAGCCCTAGGAAACCCAGGAAGGCTTCACAGCGCAAGCGACACTTCAGTTAAACCTTAAAAGAAAGGTAAACGGGCCGGGCGTGGTGGCTCACGCCTGTAATCCTAGCACTTTGGGAGGCCGAGGCGGGCGGATTGCTCAAGGTCAGGAGTTCGAAACCAGCCTGAGCAAGACCCCGTCTCTACCAAAAATAGAAATAAATTAATTGACCAACTAAAATATATATATAAAAAAATTAGCCGGGCATGGTGGCGCATGCCTGTAGTCCCAGCTACTCGGGAGGCTGAGGCAGTAGGCTCGCTGAGCCCCGGAGATTGAGGTTGCTGTGAGCCAGGTTGACGCCACGGCACTCACTCTAGCCTGGGCAACAAAGTGAGACTCTGTCTCAAAAAAAAAAAAGAAAAGAAAAAGAAAAAAAAAAGAAAGGTAAACGTTTGAGCGGCTGTCAGTGGATGAGGAGTGAGCCTCGGTTTAAAGGGCTCCGGCAGGCAGAATTGGAGGGACAGAGGAGCAGATTCTATCTCAATAGGCAGAACACCTCTCTGCAGGCAGAGCTGCCAGCACTGGGAGGTGGTGATTTTCCTGTCACAAGAGGTGTGCAAGCAGAGGCACGAGGGATGTTTGCAGAAGGTGTTCCAGCCCAGGCCGGAAGACTGTTATGATCCCTGAGAGTCTAAGATCCTGATTCTAAGATGCAAGAGACAAGTTCCACCCTGGGCTTGTCGGTGGAACAAGCCAAACCCACATAAAACAAGACAAGCGTTCTCCGGGCCAAGCGCCTTGGGCCAGCTGAGCGGCAGAGTCGGTTGAGCCTTGGGCTCGGGGGAGGCAGGAGGGAGAATCTGAGCTCAGCCTTGGTGCACGGGTAGGACTTGGATGGAGAGAGGCGAGGGCATTCCTGGCAGGTCACGCTGCTGGTGCCAAGGAGCGGAAGTGGGACGTGGATGACCTGAGGGGCGTGGGGAGGAGGCTGCTACCTTTCCAAAGGCCCTTGATCAACGCCTGTCTTGTTTTATGCTCTCCTCCCCCACACTTGAAGAGACACAGGCAAGGAACCTTTGCAGACCCTGAGCTGTCTCGGTTCCCTTGGAGCAGAAATGGGGATGGGAATCTCCAGCTCCCAGGCTGCCGTGGTTCACGCATGGAGCTTGGCAAACGCTGTTGGGATCTGGATCGTGGGGCTGGAGAGAAGAGGACAGTGGAGTGGGGGCAGCTAAAACATCCTCCTGAAAGGGCCTGGCCGCAGGTGGGGTGGTGGAGAGCAGACCCTCAGGACAGAGGATGTCAGGGTCCAGCCAGGCCAGAGGGCTCGACAAGTTTGAGGCAGGAAGGCCCCTTGGGCAGCTGGGGATGGAGCAGGTTAGAGCCAGATCCATAGCCAACCTCCCTGCCTTCCCTCCATCCAAGTCACCCATCATTTAGTGAGCACCTACTGTATGCCTGGCCTTGGGCATGTACTGTGCAGCAGAGTGGGAGAAAACGGAAACTCGGGGTCACTGCCTTTTCATCTTAGAGCAGTGACTGTGTGCCAGGCCCAGGACAGCACATGGCCAGTTACTCGAACCCTTCGATAACTCACAGCAACCTTGCAAGGCAGTGGCTATCAGCCTCACATTGCAAAAAGGAAAGCTGAGGCTCATAGAGGTCGAGTGACTTGCCCAAGTTCGCACAGGTGGTAACAAGCAGCAAAGCCAGGATTAGAAGCCAGAGGGGCCAGTCCTGAGCCGCTCACTCTGCCCTCCCACCACACCGTTCCCCGCAGTCTGCTCTGCAGCCAGAGAGTAGAGAGGAAGGAAGAGAGGGCCGTGAGGAAGGAGGGAGAGGCAGAGACGGGGAGGAAGGGGAGAGGCCGAGACTGAGGACGACGTGTAAGAGACAGAGCTGAGGGCTGGAGGTCGGAGCCAGGGAAGGCATCAAAGGCCCCAGGCAGGCCATGTGTGGGCTTGGCAGCCGATGATAGGGCCAAGTGCTCATTCCCAGCAGGCCCGGCCCTCCCGGGGCCACTGCTCTGGACCCCAAGGCGCTGACCAGATTGCTTGCACACTCCGGGCCTGGACTGCAGTCACTGGGGAGGGGGGTGGCGCCGGGGCTTTGGCACAGGGTGGCCGTGACAGCTCGGCATCCCCGACCCTGCTGGGCTGCAGCTGAGACTAATGGAGCCCCAGGGCCAGCAAGCCCAGCTGTGCAGTGTCGCCAGGCCGCGGAGGCCAGACGTCTGGACACACTGCAGAGCTGCCTGACATTGGCCCCCAGCCCCTCCCGTGCACCACGAGACCCCCCATCCCCTTTCAGCGGGGCGGCACAGGGGCTGCGCTGGGGCCTTGGCAAGGTGGCTTGTCGAGGTTGAAGGCCTTCTGGGGTGGAGCCAGGGCCCAGTTTGGGACCCTGTCTGTTGCCATGGTGACGGCTCAGGCCCGGGTCTGGGGCCAGCATCACAGTGTTCCCCAGTGAGAGCTTCACTGGTCCTTGGGGACTGAACTCGTGATCCTGCCTGGCCAGTGAACTAGCTTTTCCTTAGGAAACTATTCACTTTGCTCATTCATGGTGTCCCCCTGCGGCCCCGGCGCCTCCTAAGACAGCCCTGTGTCAGCCAGCCAGAGCCCCACCCAAGCACGGCTGCCCAGTGGCTGAGGACGCTGACCTCACGCCGTCCTATCAGTGTGGGAATGGCTGCGCTTTTGCTGGCGGCAGCTGCATCTCCTAACTGCTCGCCGTGGCAGCCCGGCCTGCCTTCCCCGGCTCTGGTCCCTGCCCAGCTGCTCAGGGCCTGGGAGAGTGGGCTGCCCCGTGAGAGGTGCTCAGGTTCAGCCCCCCACTGGGCTCCCTCCCTGCCCACAGGCCTCTGCTTCCAAGGAGAAGCAGGTACCACCTTGCAAACCATCACCCTCAGAGGAGCGGCCTGAGTTTGAATCTAGGTTGCATCTCTCTCCAGCTGTGTGGCCCCAGGGACATCCCTTAACCTCTCTGAGCCTGATTTCACATCTGTTAAAACAAGAATAGTAAGCCCTTCCCTTCCAACCTCACATGGCCACTTTGAGGAGCAAGAATGAGAAACACTTGCTCAACAGAAATTTCTTGGTTAGCAGAAATTGCTTTGGAGACAAGCAATGTCATCATCATCCCCGGCAGCATTCTTGTTTCCGTGCTTTTATTACTTCTGGCTAATGAAGGACTCTGCCTGCTTCCTTCCAGGGGTCCCAGGGGCTGTTCCTGGCGCAGTTCCCGGAGGAGTCTTTTACCCAGGTAATGTACATGAAACTCACACACGGCCAGGTAAGGCGGACGATGCTGTGAGGGAGAGATGCACATGTTGACACCGTAGGAGGCTAGAACACCAACATGCCTCCCCCCGAGGACCCAGAAATGACGCCCACTTAAAAACACAGTTAACATGACACTGTTTTGCAGCCACTAAGAGCGTGCATTTTCTGAAAGATGAAACATTAGCTCTGAGGCTGTCGGGAGGCGGGCGCCTTCACGCATTCCTGCCATTAGAAGGTTCACAGTCTTCAAACCATTAATCCCACTCTTGGGAGCCCATTCAAAGGAAATAATTGAAAAGAAGAGAAAAAGAACAATCTGCACTAAGGTTCATAGGAGTGTTATTTGCAAAACATGTAAAACAAGAAACCCGCCGGACTGGAAGGCGTGATTGAATAGACTCTGAACTATTAGGCAGCTATAAAAAGTATGAATATGCCGTCTGTTGTGCAATGTGGGGAAGTAGTTTTGAAGGGAAAAGCAACGATAGTGTGCAGATGGAGACTGGGAGCACCCTTGCCCCAAGAAAGAAAATGGCCAAAATGAAGGGGCAATTACATTAGGGGAGGGGAAAATGTCTTTTCTTTTAATATAGAAAAAGACCATAATGATTTCAAATAGACTGAAAAATCAAAAGTAATGTTTTCAATGCTTAAAAAATGCTTGCATGTTCAGAACTGATGTGGAGGTGGGGTGGGAGGGTCACCAGCATGCTCTCAGACTCAAACAGGCAAAGGCTATTGGCTCAATGAGCCAGACAAAGAAACTGAGGGTCACAGAAGTTAGGACTTGCCCAAGGTCATGTAGCTGGGCAGTGATGGATTTGGCCATGGCTGGGGTGGGGGGCTTATCTGAGATATTGATGGTTCTCGCTCTATGTCTGTCTGTCTGCCTGTCTGTCTCTCTCAACACAGGGGCTGGTCTCGGAGGCCTGGGAATAGGAGGTGAGCTCAGAAACCAAGCTTGGTTCCTCCCTGAAGGGGTCTGGGTGTCACACGTGCTCAGACCCGAGAACCCCAGAAGGCCCAAGCATGAAGGGTTCCCTCATGTCACAGATGTCGCGTCCAGGGAAAGAGCCTCGTCTGAGAGCCAGAACCCACTGGCCTGCCAGCCCTCCCCCTGGGCCCTTTCCCTTGTGACCTCTGCAGCCTTGCATATTTCTTTTCATCCTCAAAAACATCCCCACCAAGCCAGCTGAGCAGGCATCATCTTCCTCTTTTGAGGCTGAGAAACTGGGGCTCAGAAAGGGGAAACCACAGATCCCGGGCAGAGCTGGGCTCCTGGCAGCTCCGTATTCCAGGGAAGGACCCTCCCTGACAGCCCTGCTAGGACCTGGGCGTGGGATCCCACGCGCCCTCACTCCGCCCAGGGTGACAAATAGCAAAGCAGGGGGGCTGGGCCCCTCATTCACTACTGTCTCTTCCTTCTGCAGGTCTGGGTGCTGGAGCCAAACCACCCAAGCCAGGTAAGACCCACAGCCTCTGAGCACCGTCGTGAACTGGGCAAGTGGCCAATGCACAGGAGGAGGGAGGGAGGTGTGGGCAGCGATAGCCCCCCCCCAGGAATGAGCAGGCCAGGGCCAGGCCCCAGGGCTTCCAGGGACAGGAGGCTGGAGGCAGCTCCATGTCCTCCTTTTGTGAGGAGGGTCTAGCTTCTACCCTGCAAGTGCGTCTGTGCCCTGCTGGCCAGAGACTGCTTTCTGCAGAGTCTCAGAAACAGCCCTGGTGTTGGACGCAAAGGGAAAGACTGCCTTGGGTCCAGTGGCCCCCAGACCTGTAAAATGGCACTCGGGCTCAGACTCAGGTGGTCAGCCTCACACTCCACCTGGTCCACTGATCATTGACCCAAGACCAATCCCTGTCTATCCTGTGCCGAGACCCCAGAAAGCCCTGACCTTGTAGCCAGTCTGAGCCCTACTCCAGACTTAGCACTGGTCCTAGGCTGAGTCCTGGCCCCAGACCAACCCCTGAGCTTAACCCCAGGCTGACCCCTGACCCTGGCCCCAAATGAGTCCCAATCCTGGCCTCAGGCCAAGCCCTGACCCCAAGGCACTGACCCTGGCCGCAGCCGAGCTAGCTCCCTTCCTGATCTCAGGCCCCTGCCAGCTGTGTCCAGACCGTGGAGTTTTCCAGTAAGAAGGTGTGGCTGACTCTATCCTGGCCTCACCCATGGGTCTGAGATCTGCCACCAAGGCCCACTCTAGGCTCCAGGGAACGCACCCCCAGGAAGCAGAGGGGGCTGGTCCCTCCGGGAAAGGCTGGCGGATAAGAAGCAGGTGGAGGAAACCGCGTCTCTGTCCAGATTTATGGCCCCTCGGCGTGAGACGCTCCACATGTGGCCTTGGCCCCCCACCCTGCGCCGTGTTGCCCTGGCTCTGAAGCCCGAGGCTCTAGGACACAGTTTGGATGTCCAAGAGCTCTTATGAAATCCTGATGGCTGATGATCCAAGTGCAAATGAATCTTCGAGACCCAGATTCCCCTTCGCTGAAAGCCCATCTGGGTTGTGAAACTCTAGGGCTGGGGCCAGGCAAGGCAGGAGGAGGGCAGGGCGCCTGAGCAAGGGGTTTCCTGGGGTCTGCAGGGAGCTGCAAGGCCAGGAGAACTCGGGGCTTACTGCTTCTCCCTGCCAGCCCCTGCATCCTGTCTTCCTGCAGCGGCGAGGGGTGTTAGCAGGGTCTCTGATGGTGGAGAGAGTGCAGGGAAGGGCTGGATGAGCAAGGTGTGGAGCTGGGACCGTGCTTGGCCTAGAAGACCCAAATGGTCAAGGTCATGCCTGCAAAGCCAGAGGGTACATTGATTGATCCCACTGGCACCAGGGGATACAGGGCAGGTTGTAATTAAACACTGGAGGAAAGACTGAGACAACCGCATACAGAGACCCAGGGTGGATGGCTGCTAAAGTGAATTAATGAAAGATCTAGGTTAGACTTCTGAAAGAACTTCCAGCTCCAGGTGAAGGAGTAGACCAAAAGGAAAGTCAGGGCATCTCCTTCTAATGGAAAGTGCACTGTCTCCAGGCAGGGCGCTGGAGTCATGACCACCCTGAGGTCATCTTTCAGCCTCAGGACTCAGGGCTACAAAGGCCTTGGCAGAGCCACCGTGGCGCCCCCAGGGAAGCTCCCCTCGTCCGGGCTGCGGGGACGTCCGGGCCTGCCCAGGCAGGATGGAATGGGGCACAAGCAGCGTGTGTTGTGCTTGGGAACAATTAATCCCTTGGCAATAGAGGGTGGGTGGCCTGGCAGCTGCTTCTCCACGTGGGCGCCGCAGGCGGTGGGGCGGCTGAGCTGGCCCCGGGGCTGGCCCCACCCTGCCTGGGCTCTCAGCGGGGAGCCAGGCAGCTGGGAGCCTGCACTCCCTGTACCCTGAGCACCGGCTGGAAGCCAGCCACACCCTGGGAGGGGTGCGGGCAAGGACAGGAAGGGGCGGAGAGCACCCACTGGGTGCTCCGGCAGGTTGCACACACTAGGTGCTATTTGCTCACCAGCTCACTGGTCCCAGGAAGGTAGGGTGTATGATGGCCACTTCGTAGATGGGGGAACTGACCCTTAGAGAGGTGAAGTGACCAACCTGCTCCTCCATCAGACAGTGGGTCGAGGCAGTGGGATCTGAATACAGAACTCTCTGACTCCAGGAACAGAGGGGGCTGGGCTGGCCAGGTCCCCAGGGCTCCCTGCTGTGGGCAGCTCTCCCTCCCTCCTCCTCTGTGGTATTTGGGGCAGTGAGTGCCACAGGAGGAGGACAAGCAGGGCAAAGCTGGCCAGGCAGGAGGGCAGCCCTGGGACCAGCACCGCCGGGGCGGGGGCCGTGGGAAGTGGCAGACAACGGCACAGGGGCTGCCTGCCCCCACCTGCCCGCCTGCCTCGCTTCCTGTCCAGTCCCCCGCCACTCTGCAAACAGGAAAGGTCTGAGTGTGTCCCCTGCCCTCTCATAGCTCGGGAAACAGGCCTGGCTTGACAGAAGCCACTGCCACTGCCAGAGTGGACACAGGGCCTGGGTGCTGGGAATCGGGTCTCATCTGACCGCCACGCCACTGCCGCCCAGGGTGGAGACCAGTGTTATGGAGGCCTGGCTGGGGTTCAAGGGCCCAGGTCACCCCAGTAGGAGATGAGTGGAGAGGGGCCCTTGGGAAAGGAGGCCACACCCAGTGGAAGCCACAGGACCCCTCCAGGACTCAGCAGGCCCTGGGTTTGGATCGTCCCTGGGGAGGTCTCACCCCTGGGGCTCGGACCCTGGCAGCCAGGGCTGGCACTTGCAGGAGAGATCCTCACATAATTGGAACCAAACGCGGCATGGTTGTAAACTCCAACCTGATTGCCCGTGGGTCTGGGCCAAGGCCGTGGAATGTCTCCCCGAGGGGGAGAAGGAGCAATTAGGCCCAGATGTGGGAAGGAGAGAGCCAGAGGGACCCATTTGGCTTCGCAGAAACATCTTAGCATGGAGGCTCCAGGACAGAAGGACAGACAGATGGTGGGGACAGAAGGGACCCCCAGACACAGAGGCAGAGAGGGGCTGGGTCCGGGGACACCTGCGGGGAAGAGAAGAGAGGCCCGGGCTGGGGCTGACGCTGTGAGCAGGGAAGGGCCCGGCTGGGTGAGGTCTGCTCACAGGCTGCTCAGCTCCAGCCCCACAGGGAGCCTGCCGGGCCCCGCTAGCTGGCAGGGCTCCCAGGACAGGCCCAGGCCTGGCCCTCAGCTTGTCAGGGAGCCGCGGCACAGTCCCATCCGCACAGCACGTAGGAGTGGGTCACTAAACGGTGGCGGCTATTCCATCAGGATCAGCCCCGAGTACCAAAGTCTTAGGGACCACCTTAGGGACCTGAGTGGCCGCATACTGATCACAGCACTGCCAGGTTCCTGCCCTGATTCCACGAGACTCTTCTCACCCTGGGCCCAGGGATGCAGCCCACACCCCGGCCTCTCCTCACCTATTTCTGTCTCCTCCCTCTTCTGCAGGTGTTGGAGGGCTCGCAGGCGCTGGCCTCGGGGCAGGTTAGTACTGACACCCAGGCAAGGTGCCCTTTGGGTATCTGCCCAGTTTGAGGGCAGTCAGCGTATAGGTACAGTCCTGGGCACCGATGGGGCCTAATGCTGACACCACCTGCCCATCCCAAGCAGCCTCCTGGAGCACAAGGGAGTCACAGCTGGGTACCTGGGTACAGTTACAATAGCGACAAGTTACAATACCTTCCAGGTAGAGGAAGCCCCCGGGACCAAGTGGGTGCAGGAAGGGGTTTTGGAGGAGGTGGGTGTGGAAGTTTGATCACGAAAGATCCACACGGTTTTGTCAGACTGTGGGAGCTGTTAACCCCCAGCACAGAATCCGGTCCCGTGAGCAGTGGTCGCTGCTTGGCGCTGATGTCCCGTGGAGACCAGAAGAGCCTCGAGTGTGCTTCCTAAGTGGACAGGGCAGGCCGGGCTGGGGCTCAGGGGTCTCCATGGTGTGACAGCTCAGGCCCTCACCCCACCCTCCCCTCCGCAGGTGCAGGTCTGGGTGCCTTCCCTGCTGGCACCTTCCCGGGGGCCCTGGCGCCCGGCGGAGCGGCCGCCGCTGCTGCAGCCTATAAAGCAGCCGCCAAGGCTGGTGAGTGGTACTCACAGGGACACGCCGGAAGCCCTCTGGCTTCCTTGCACCCTCCGCTCCGCAAAGAGCCTTCCCTGACCCCAGGCCTGGGAGGCAGGTGGGCAGGAACCTCTTCTCCAGCCTACTGAGGCTCGGGGACACAGCTGGCTGTGAGTTGGTGGCCGAGCCAGACCTCAACACTGGGCCCTCCACATGCAGCCCAGGGCCCTTCCTCCTCCCACTGTTCCTCGTACGACCCTCACCTCTCCCACTCCTGGCTCTGCAGGTGCTGGGCTCGGCGGTGTTGCTGGAGTCGGCGGTGTTGCTGGAGTCGGCGGTATTGGTGGTGTCGGTGGTATTGGTGGTGTCGGTGGCATTGGTGGTGTCGGTGGCTTAGGCGTGTCTACAGGTATGGTGGCTGGCCCTGAGCTCCCTGGGTCGAGGCTGCAGGTCCCAGGCGGAGGCAGCTCTGATGCCAGCCCCTTCTGTGCCAGGTGCCGTGGTTCCTCAGCCCGGAGCTGGAGTAGGAGTTGGAGCCGGAGCGAAGCCTGGGAAAGTGCCCGGTCAGTGTGGACTCCCTGGGGCTGGAGGACAGAGGTCAGGATGGGGCAGAGGTCAGGGCGGAACAGCCCCCCTCCAGCCCACTGCGCTGGAGGAGGAAGGGCGGGCCTGGCTGCGGCAGGGCAGGGAAACAGCCGGCCAAAGCGTGGTACCTACGGCTGTGAATTGAGGGGAAGGGCTTGGCCTACCTTCCAGGCCCTTCTCCCAGGATCTTGGAACGGAAACAGACCCCAGAGACAGGCTCTGTGGCAGGCTGGCCAATGACAGATGGGGAAACTGAGGCTCAGTGCAGGAGGGCCCACCACAAGTCATGGTGGAGCTGGAGTGGGGCCGGCATCCTCTGCCACCCCATTGGTGCCTGTTTCTGCTGCATCAGGCCCTTTAGGAAGTGACTTCAGGTTAAAAAAAAGGCTGCCTGAGTCCACACAGCAGGGAGGGGACATCTGGAAGTGGTTAGCAGAGGTGGGCTGGCCGGGCCATGTAAACAGGCTCCAGGAGACAGAGATAAATCCACGCACAGAAGGGTGTGCAGATGACTTCCGAAACTCGTAGGAGGAGGGCTGCGGCCACCCCACGTCTGTCCCTGGCCGCCCCGCCAGGCACAGGGGCTGCTGGTTTGGGAGCCCTGGAGCTGCCTGGGCAGGAGGAGGGGCCCCTGAAGGCTGAGCTGCTGCTCACGGCTCCTTTTTCTTTCGGCTACAGGTGTGGGGCTTCCAGGTGTATACCCAGGTGGAGTGCTCCCAGGCACAGGTGAGGGCAGGGGAGGGGACCTACAGAAAGAGAAGCAGCCCCTGTCTGTCTCCCTAGTGCCCCTTTTCCCCACAAGCAGAGCCCACCAGAGGCCTTGGGTCCTGACCAGCGCTGTCTCCCCCAGTGTCCAAGCTCAGGCTTACCGACACAAGGTCCCTGGTGTGTCCCCAGCCCCACCCAAGCCCTGATCCCAGGCCCAGACCATCGGCACAGCCCGAGATGGGCCCCTGAGCACAGACCCCAGTGTGACCAGCTGTTTCCCAAAAGCTGTGAGTCACCAGGGTGCGGCCAAGTGAGTCTGCCCTGCAGGAGACCCCGAAGAGCTGTGCCCTCAGCCTCCAGCCCCTGCCAGGGCCTGACCACCCGACCCAGCATGTGACCTCCTGAATTCCCCCAAAAGCCCAGACTCAGACTGCTCTGCAGGATTTGCTGACAGGGTGGCCCTCCCTCTGCGTCCCCCCTCCCGGCCGAGGTGGCCTAGCCCCAGGGGACACAGGAGAGGTGGGAGACACTGGCACAGGGGTCCCTGGCGGCGGCTGAATGGCTGCTTTGTGGGGGCCTGGGTTGGGAGTGACACCGGGTAGGAGCTCCAAGGGCACAGGCTTCCCTGGGCCGCAGCCAGGCCCACCCCACACCGGCTCGCCCCCTCTCTGCTTGCTCTGCGAGGGTGGTCAGGGCGGCTTTAGTGATTAACTCCAGCGTAGAGATGAGGCACGAGCTCACATGGACAGGAAATAGGATTAAAACTCAGATCTTCTGACTTTGGGCCAGACGGGAGAGAAAGTCACCACCAGTCAGGTCCTTCCTCCACCGCCCCGTGAGCCGTGCCTGTCACAGGAGGTCGGCTGTGGGACCCGAGGAGGGGAGGGGTGCCCAGCTGGGCCGCAGGGCCTGCCTTTGTGCCCTCACCGCCGGACCCTTCTCTGCCCCCCAGGAGCTCGGTTTCCAGGTGTGGGGGTGCTCCCTGGGGTCCCCACTGGAACAGGAGTGAAGCCCAAGGCCCCAGGTACGCATCCAGTAGGCTGGGACCCCATGGCGGGGCTCTTCACCCGCCCTCCGGCCTGGGACACAAGACGGGATGGGGATCCTGGGCTCACCCCGGGCCCTCCGGGTGGGCACCCCCTGCCCCAGCCCTGGGACAGCGGGCCAGGGTGGGCAGCACAGTGCTCAGAAATGCCAGAGCGGGTGTCAGGGCAGCAGGAGCTGGGTGTCCAGGCAGGACTGGCCACTGCTTGGGCCTGCCTGCCCCTGGGTGCTGCCCAGCCCTGTGTGCATGGTGGCAGCTGCAGTGACAGGTCTTTGTCATTGCAGGTGGAGGCGGTGCTTTTGCAGGAATCCCAGGTGAGGCAAGGCTGGTCAGGCCAGCACAGTGGCCAGCTGGGCTGGGGCTCTTGCCCTGGAAGGGGCTAGGCACCCAAGTGCCACCCAGGCATCCCAATGCCCCAAATGCCTGCGCTCCAGGCCTTTGTGCTCCCCCGCCCAGGCCCCCATCGGTGTAGCAACCCACACCAGCCCAGAAAGCCACTCATCGAGCCAAGGGCTACATGGGCTACAGGGGGTCCCAAACCCCAGGAGGGAGACAGTCCTGCAGCCTCCTGGAGGAAGTGGCCTGCCCCTGGGGATGGCTTGGCTGGCCACGATGGAGAGGCAGGGAGGTTTCTGGGCGCAGCAGGGAGCCCCTTCCGTCTGAGCAGAAAGCGGAGTGTGAGGCGGAAGGTCTGAAGGGGTTGCTCAGACCTGAACTTGCGCCCTTTATCCCTACAGGGGTTGGGCCCTTTGGGGGCCAGCAGCCTGGAGTCCCCCTGGGCTACCCCATCAAGGCACCCAAGCTGCCAGGTCAGTCAGAGGCGAGACTCACGGCGCCTCCCGCTGAGAAGCCGGCCTGAGGGGCACTTGCTTGGCCGAGGGTGTCTCTTAGGGTGGGGTGGTCGGGAAGCCTGGGTATCAAAGCCCACTATGGTCACCAGCCAAGGAGAGCATGGGCAAGTCAGTCCCGCAGGTGTCGGACTCACTTGCGTGCACACGTATGCACATGCACACGCACGCACACGCACAGGGACCCACAGCCCTGACGGGAGCCATGTGTGTGGATGGTAAGAAACGCCACTCACTGGGAGGACCCCTCTGACATCAACCCACTGCACCCCACCCCTCCAGCCCCGTCAGCTCCGACAGTGAGATGCTTCCCGTGGCAGAAGGGACTGAGATCCTCAGACTCTAGGCCATGGTGGGGCCCGGGTTGCAGGGGATGGGTGTCCTCTCCCTCCTCCACCCAGGGCCTCTGCTCTCCCGAGAGCCACTGGGAGCAGCTCAGGGCCCTTGTGGGGGGTTCTTGGGCCACAGCACCTGCAGGGGTAGGTCTGTCCACCCGGGTAGGTGGGAGCCCAGCCAGGCAGCCCCTGAGCCCACACTCCACACTGCCCTCTCCCCAGGTGGCTATGGACTGCCCTACAGCACTGGGAAACTGCCCTACGGTGAGTGAGGTCCTCCTAGACTTGTGGGCTTCAAGCTCTTTCCGGCTCCAGGGTCCTGGCAAGGGTGCTGTGGCCCCAGCCCAGGGCACCTAGCTGGAAGAGGGGGCGGAACGGAATCCCAGAAAGAAAGAGCGTGGAATTTGGACTCCGACAGCCTGGCTCCATTCACCCCTAGCAAGGCCTTGGCTGAGCCATTTTGCTTCTCTGAGCCTCAGTGTCCTCATCTGTACGATGCGAATAATGAGCCGCACACATTAGTATTTGTTTTCACTCTGGCTGGGGGTGACAGGTGGAGACTAGAGACAGCCTGGGCCCCAAGGGCAGGGCAGGGGAGGGCAGCAGTGGTGACATGTCTGCACAGTGACCACTGAGCCTCTCTGCTCTGCAGGCTACGGGCCCGGAGGAGTGGCTGGCGCCGGGGCCAAGGCTGGCTACCCAACGGGGACAGGTAAGGAAGGGCTCCAGCCACTTCCAGCCACAGGGGCACTGGCCACCCTGGGTCTGAACCTGGAGAAAGGTCCTGGATGGGGGCAGCTCCGCCAGCCTCTGCCTGCTGTGAAGCCCACACCCACACCTAGACCTCAGCGGGTTGGTTCTCTTGGGGCTGGAAACAGGTGGGCTCTGCAGACGCAGGAGCACTGTTTTCAGAGTCATTCCCTCCCCACCCCACTTCCCCAGGGGTTGGTGCCCAGGCTGCAGCAGCAGCAGCTAAAGCAGCAAAGTATGGTGAGTACCCCTGGAGTCCCCACCAGCCAGCCCCAGCCCCGTTACTGCTGAGGGCCTGCCCCCCAGACAACAAGCAAGGTGGCCTCTGCCCTCCACCTACCCAGCATTCTCAACACTGTCCATCCAGCTGTCTCCCCCATCCCTACCCCATCCTCCATCTCTCCTTGCCATCCATCCACACCTCCCTCCCTCCATCCTTTCATCCCTCCCTCTCTCCATCCCTCTATCCTTTCATCCCTTCCTCCCTCCATCCGTCCCTCCCTCCATCCATCCCTCCCTCCATCCATTCTTTCATCCCTCCCTCTCTCCATCCCTCCATCCATCCCTCCCTCCATCCATCCTTTCATCCCTCCCTCTCTCCATCCCTCCATCCATCCCTCCCTCCATCCCTCCCTCCCTCCATCCATCCTTTCATCCCTCCTTCTCTCCATCCCTTCATCCCTCCATCCCTCCCTCCCTCCCTCCATCCTTTTGTCCTTCCCTCTCTCTATCCCTCCATCCCCCTCCATCCCTCCATCCATCCCTCCATCCTTTCATCCCTCCCTCCTTCCTTCCCTACCGCCCCCCCCCCCGCATTCCCACATCTCAGAGATTGGGGACAGACAGGTCCCCCTGGAGAATGTAGGCACTGCTGTGGGAGCTGAGGGGGAGGACTTATTCCCACTTGGGAACACAGGAAGGCTTCCCAGAGAAAGCGACATCTGAGTTAGTCTTTAAAATATAACTGGAGTCTGCCATGTGGTTAAAACAGGAACAAGGAGCCTGAGCAGAGGGAACGGGTACCATGGTGGTTAGAAAGATGATTTTAAGTGGTACATATATGAGCATTTAAAATTTTTAATAGTTATATATCAATTTAATATGTACCATAAAATTTTTAACTTGCTCCTCGAGCCGGCTATCCCTTGGAGGGCATGGCTGCAGATGCGGCGTGGCCTTCCTGTGCCTGCGGCTTGGGCAGAGGGGCATCTGTCCCCTGCCCTGCTCAGGGCCAGGCCGTGGGGGCTGAGGTCCTCTCCTTCATCCACAGCCCCAGGGGAGCCCTTCCCGTGTCTCCCCCTAGTCAAGGGGCAAGAATGTGGGGGGAAGCAGGGAGCTGGGCCCGCGCCCTGGAAGCCCCCCCGGGCCCCCCTCCAGGCACCCGAGGCTCCTTGGCCCCGTGGCTGGGGGGACAGCTGGAATGAGGGCTCGAGAGCGAGGGGCTGCCAGAGCCAGGCGGCCAGGCGCTTGGATTACGAACTTGGCGGAGGCTTCGGAACACAGAGAGAGGAAGCCTTGAACATTCCTACGGGGGCCCCTCTGGCCCAGGGCGAGGCCGCTGTGGTTTCTCAGTATGTGGCAGTGATTAGAATGGGATTTGTCTGCAAACACACAAGTCCCTTAATGAGCGTGTTGAAATGGACACTTTGGGGGTGAGTCAAGGCACAAGGAGTGGGGGCCTTCCCCAGCAGGCCCGGCCAGAGACACCGGGCCTCATTCCCCGATGAGATTGCACTGGTTAAAATGCCAGCATCTCAGTGGCCTTCCTGCCATGCCCGGCCATATCATACTGTCCCTATTCCATCAGGTGCTGGAGGAGCCGGAGTCCTCCCTGGTGTCGGAGGGGCCGGCATTCCTGGCGTGGCCGGTGCAATTCCTGGAATTGGAGGCATCGCAGGTAGTGTCAGTTCCAGCAGGCGTGGGGATGTCCTTGAGAGGGCCACAGGGCAGGGACCTCACCTTCTGTGACTGTCTTTCCAGGGGCTGGGACTCCAGCTGCAGCTGCAGCTGCGAAGGCAGCCGCTAAGGCCGCCAAGTACGGTGAGTGCCCCTGGGTTGCCGCCCAGGACTCGGGCCTGCCCTGGCCTCTGCATGGGCCTTAGAGACCCCAGTCCTATAAGGCCGGATGGAGTTGGCCATCCATGGCACCCTGCCTACCCCCCAACCCCCTCCCCAAACATGTGCAGTTCACACCTCCTTGCCTCTGTTCCTTCTGGTCCCTACCTGGGATGCCATCTGCATTGCTCTCCACTGACACATGATTGAGCCAGCAGGGGTGGGGGGGACCCTGTGGAGCACCAGGCTCCTCCCACTCCACCCTCCCATGGCCACCCCACAGGCGTCCCCTGTGTCCACTGCCTGGGTTCCCAGTGCTGAGAATTCTGACTTTGCTTTAGAAATAGACCTCGTTCTTCCCAACCCACAGATGCAAACCCTTGGAGCTCTTTAGGGACCCTCTTTCTTAGTCCCTCCACACCTTTCTGATGAGTTGGATCCATGCCAAGGAAATGCCAACCCACCTGTGACCCTGGGCTTGGGACTGACTGTCAGTATTGTAGCTCCCCTGGACCACTGCCCTTAGAGACCCTGTGAGGTTCCCACGGGCCAGGACAACAACCCTTTCCCTCCCACAGGAGCTCCTGGAGGCTTAGTGCCCGGTGGGCCAGGCTTTGGTGTCCCAGGAGTTGGTGTTCCAGGAGTTGGGGTCCCAGGAGTTGGTGTCCCAGGAGTTGGTGTCCCAGGAGTTGGTGTCCCAGGAGTTGGAGTCCCAGGAGTTGGGGTCCCAGGTGTTGGAGTCCCGGGAGTTGGCGTTCCAGGAGTTGGAGTCGGTGAGCTGAGCTGTATGTGTGTGTGTGCACCTGTGTAAGAGAGAAATATTGAGACTATTGCCAGAACTTTTGGATCCTCTCTAACACCTCACCTATCTGTCCATACCCTTGGCCATACCTCATTCCCTCATCCTCCTCCCTTGGGCTGTAACAGCTTCCCAATTAGCTAGTACCAGTATCATCTCCAATTGACCTTCTGGCTGTCAGTGTGCTCCCAGGGAGAAGACCATGTCTTTTTCATCTCTGTTCCCAGCCCTTAGCTGAGTAGGTGTTCAGTCTGTGATGGATAGATGGGTGTGTGGGTGGAAGGATGGGTGGGTGGAAGAATGGGTGGGTGGAGGGATGGACGGGTATGTGGATGGGTGGGTGTGTGGAAGGATAGATGGGTGGATGGACAACTGAGAAGGCAGGTGAGTGGCCATGTGAATGAGTAGGCAAAGTGGTGGATGAGAGAGTAGGCAGGTGGGTGGGTAGACGGACAGATACCAGGATGGGTGGATACATGCATGGATAGATGGGTAAAAAGGTGAATGGATAGATGAATGGGTAGGTAGGAAGACTGATGGACAGGCAAGTGGAGACTAGATAAGTGGTTAGAAGGATGGGTAGAGGTGTGGATGGATGGATGGGCACTGGGTTGGATGAGCAAATGAACAGATGGGTGATGGCAGGATGGGCAGGCAAATGTAAAATGATGGTTGGATAGATGGTTAGGTGAGTGGCTAGATGGGCAGATGAGTGGATAAGGTGATGGCTAGGTGAGCACATGGGTGGACAGAGAGTCAGGTAGTTGGGTGGGTGGATTGAGGTCCAAGAATAGACAGACAAATGGAGAGACATAGATGTGGGTCAATGGGTGGGTAGAGGGGTCGAGTGGCTGGGTGGGCAGACAGGCAGATGGGTGGACAACTCTATGTGGGGTCAACAGACAGAAGAAGGTAGACTGACAGACAGATGGGTGGACAGAGGAATCTATACCAAGCATCTCTTCTCCGTTCTCTCCTGAGCATTTGTGTCCCCCTTGGTCTCTCCAGGGGCTGTGTCACCAGCTGCAGCTGCGAAAGCTGCCGCCAAAGCAGCCAAATATGGTGAGTTTGTGATAGCTCTGCCCCACCCTGTCCCGGCTTATCTGCCAGAACTAACGACTCTCATCTAGTTGCCCAGAGAAGGTGAATGACTTGTCCAAGGTCACAGAGGAAGTCACTGGCAGAGCTGGACTTGGACCTGGCAGCCCCAGGGCAATGTCTCCCCAGTTGTCTCCCACCGTGAGGCCATGGGGCTGAGCATTGGGAGAGTGTCAGGATGGCATCCACATTGGGGACAGTGATCCTGACCCGCCCTGCTCTGGCCAGGGCCCTCCCAGAGGAGCCCAAACCTGGCTGGGAATATGGAACCTGCCAACAGTCTCCCCACATCCAACAAGGGGGTCCTTCTCCCAGTGCCCTGAGAATAGAGGGGTGGGAGGAGGACCTAAGGGTGTCGGTAGAGCTTCACACACAGGCTGTGGGGGCCGCGTGGCTTCCTGTCCTTCACGGACCAGGCTGGGGGAAGCTGTGTCCTCTCCCAGCCGACCAGCACCCCCGGAGCCCTGCCAGCCCTCACCAAGGTTCTTTCCCTCGGTTCCCTTCCGCCTGCAGGAGCCAGGGGGGGAGTCGGAGTTGGAGGCATTCCCACTTACGGGGTTGGCGCTGGGGGCATTCCCGGCTACGGTGTCGTGCCCGGAGTCGGAGGAATCCCCGGAGTCGGAGTCGGTGGTGTCCCTGGAGCCGGCCTTTCCCGTGAGCCTTAGCAACATCTGGGAGATCGGTGGCGAAGGGGTGGGGGCTTCTTTCCTGTTGGGCTATGCGGGGGGGAGTGGGGTGTCCACAGGGTTTGACTGCTCAGGGAGGAGTTGGGGAGAAGACAGGGAGAGCGGTGAGCACAGCTGAGACCCAGGCAAGCCTCCGGAGCGTGTCTTTCTTTCTCATTTCCTTGAAGCTGAAGCCCGGGCCGCGGCTGCCGCCAAAGCTGCCAAGTACGGTGAGTGCCCTGCCTGCCTGTCCCCAGGCCCTGCTCTCCACAGGGCCTGGGCCAAGGGTGCGAGTCCCCCGCCCCTGTCTCCCAAAGCCACACTCAACTCTACTGCCCTTTTTGGTTGCCTGCCATTAGGGCTATTGGTGACCAGCTCACCCTACCCCAAACCAGACAGTCGAAGGTGCCAGGCAGCCATCCTGCACCGCCCCCATCCTCCCACCCCACCCCCACTCCCCCAAGAGGTGGCCTCCAGGAGGGGCGAGGCTGGACGCTCTTCACTCCTCCAGGTGCTGCAGGAGCTGGAGCCCTGGGAGGGCTGGTGCCAGGTGTACCAGGCGCAGTCCCAGGAGTACCAGGCGCTGAAGGAATCCCAGGTGAGCTGTGTCCCCAGCCCAGAGACAGACTTGGTTTGCCTCATGGAAGGGGCCCTGGAGTTGACTGAGGTCAACCGTACCATTTTACAGATGATAAGACTGAGCCCAGAGATGGGGAGGAGAGAAAGCAACTTCCCCTAGGCTGGTCTGGAGGGAAGAGCCCTCTGTGCCTGGGGTTCTGGGTGCCAAAGGAAACTGGCAAGTCCCCTCCCTGCCTGGGGAGGCTCAGGAACGCCAGCGGCTGGGTGTCACAGCCCTGCTCTGCTAGACCGGGGGTTTCATTTACTCAGTGGGCCTTTCTGGTTCCTCATCAGGCAGAACCTTCCACCCTGTGTTCTTCCTCCTCCACCAGTCACGGGCCAAAGGGAAGAGATTAAGTGGCCATGACATTAAGTGACAACTTTCCTTGGTTGTTTTCCCATTGGAAGGTTTCTCTTCTGCATTCCTTCTTCTTTCCAGGAGAAAATTCCCCTTTTAATTTACCTCAAAAAATGAGCCATTTCTTCCAATAGTTTTGGCTATTGTAGGGCTACTAAGATTTGGGCTATTAAGGGATACTAAGATTTGTAAGAAATTACCGAAGCAGAGAGCGCCACAGAGCTTTCAGACCTGGGGTAGGACAGGACCACCACGCCCCGCCAGTGACAGCCCAGGGCTAGAATTTCAGCCCACAGCTAGAGCTGCTTCTCAAGTCTGCACTCAAGGAAGGACAGGGGTGTCCCCAGGTGCTAGTGGGCGATCACAGAGCCAGGCCTGAGACCCAGCTGGGCACTGCACGCTTCCTTCTGTCTCTAACTCAAGGAGACAGTGCAGGGAGAGGGACTTCAGGAGGGAAACAGCTCCCTAGAGGTGGATTCTGGGAGGGCTTCCAACAGTGGGGTGGGGAGGGATGGGGAGAGGTGCTGGGGACTACTCCCTCATCCCCCCTCACCCCTCCAGGAGCAGGGAGCCCAGCAGCTGCAGCAGCCGCAGCTGCCAAAGCTGCCGCCAAGGCTGCCCAGTTCGGTGAGTGCCTCCCCACCCCATCGAAGAGCGTGCTTCTCCCCCCCCTGCTCTGGGGTCTGCTGCCCAGTCCCCCTGCCTCTCCAGCCCCCTCTAGCCATCACATTCGGGAGTGGCCTTCCTCAGAGACTTTGGCCCATCCGATGGCCTTCAGGAGTGTGGGTGACGTTCTGATTAGGGAAGCAGAGTGAGAAGAGGCCCTAGTGAGCCCCAGGACCCATGTCCCCATTCCCAAAGGCCCTGGACCCCCCGGTCTGGCTGGGGCCTGCCCCCCTGCCCTGACCTCACGCTGGCTCCTCTGGGCTCCAGCCCCCCTCAAGCGACTGCAGCACTTCTTAGTCCCCATCTCTTGCGACATCCGAGGGCCACCCTGGCAGCCCCAGCTGCCCAGTTTCCTGAATATGGAGACTCGCAGCAGTCCCACTTGTTAGCTTTCAGCTGTGTGTCAGCTCCTGGGTGGCCCTGGGAGCCGTGTGCCTCGGCCTTAGGGACCTGAGGACATAAAGGTTCGGATCAGAACCTCTAAGACCGAGTAGGCCAGAAAGTGTCTTAACCACAGTCCACTGACCCCCTAATTCTCATACACAACCATCTTACGAAGTTGGTGTCATTATTCCCATTTCACAGATGTAGAAACTGAGGTTCCCAGAGCCTCAGTAACTTGCCCACAGTCACACAGCTAAACGGTGCTGAGCTGAGATTTGTACCCAGGTCTGCCTGCCTTGCAAAGCCCCTCAGACTACATAACTCTGCTTCTATCACCCTCAAGACTCCCAGGAGGCCTGGTCCCTCAAAAGGTTAAGAACTCCTGACCCTGCACATACTTCATATTAGTGGTGAAGGAGCTGATGCGCCTCAGGGACAGGTGACTGGTCCAGGGGCACACAGTAAGTCTGTAGAGCCGGGACGAGAGCCCAGGGCTCCAGCCAGTGCTCCTCCCATCGGCTTCTGCCCTTTTTGGCCGGGCTTTGGATACGGATTAGCTATTCTCACTCTTCTAGGGTTAGGCCCCGGTGCCGGCGTGGCCCCTGGAGTGGTCCCCGGTGTAGGCGTGGCCCCTGGAGTGGTCCCTGGTGTAGGCGTGGCCCCTGGAGTGGTCCCCGGTGTCGGCGTGGCGCCCGGCGTTGGCATCGGCCCTGGTGTTGCAGGTGAGCTATGAGCAGGTGGGCCTGGGGAGCTCCCGAAGCCTCCGTGGGCACCGTCCCTGACCCCCCTCTCTCTCCCTCCAGGAGTGGGGACCCCAGCTGCAGCCAAATCCGCTGCTAAGGCGGCCGCCAAAGCCCAGCTCCGTGAGTGCCCTGCCGCCTTCCTGTCCCCTCCCGGCCCAAGCCTGAGCTGGGCCCAAGATACACAGCCTCTCAGACCTGCCCCGTAGCCTCCTTAGATCCCCAAGGCAGCAGCCAGACGGGTGGGAAGTGCCGACTTGGCATGTGGGAGACCTGGGTTCAAGTCCTGGTCCCTCACTAGCTGAGTGACCTCCGAGTTAGCCTGTCCTCACGTGTTAAGGGTGGGTGATGGCAGTACCTTCCTAACAGAAGGCCGTTAGGAGGTCGAAAGGAGCTCAGCCAGGCCGGGCGTGGTGGCTCACGCCTGTAATCCTAGCACTCTGGGAGGCCAAGGTGAGTGGATCGTTTGAGCTCAGGAGTTCAAGACCAGCTTGAGCAACAGTGAGACCCCGCCTCTACTAAAAAATAGAAAAAATCAGCCGGGCATGGTGGTGCATGCCTGTAATCCCAGCTACTCAGGAGGCTGAGGCAGAAGGATCGCGTGAGCCCAGGAGTTTGAGGTTGCTGTGAGCTAGGCTGACGCCATGGCACTCTAGCCGGAGCAACAGAGTGAGACTCTGTCTCAAAAAAAAAAAAAGAAAGAAAGAAAGAAAAGAAAAGAAATGAGCTCATCCAAGAGAGAAGAGCCGGAGATTAGTCTGGAAAGGAAGTGGTGTCCAGAGTGTGCGGCCCTAATGCAGCCCGGGGCTGGGCGGGTGGGGCAGCTTTAGGGACGCCACTGCAGTGCAGCACAGGGGCTGGGCTGGGGGCAGGTCTGGAGATGGGGGCAAGGCCATTGCCTGGGTCTGGGCCCCTTCCCCTGGGGACTGGCTCAGGGCATCTCCTCGGGGTCATGCTCCCGCCCTGCTGCCACCACCCACTGCCCTCTCTCTGCAGGCGCTGCAGCTGGGCTTGGTGCTGGCGTTCCCGGACTTGGAGTTGGTGCTGGTGTTCCCGGACTTGGAGTTGGTGCTGGCATTCCCAGACTTGGAGTTGGCGCTGGTGTTCCCGGACTTGGAGTTGGCGCTGGTGTTCCCGGCTTTGGGGCAGGTGCAGGTGAGGGGCCTTCTAGGAGCTAGAAGAGACATCTCTTGAGCTCAGGGGCAGGAAGCACCTCGTCCTCCCAGCGCAGCCCCACATCCCCACACCACCCAGGGGTGCACAGTGAATTCCCCATCAGTTTCTCCCGAGCAGGCAGAGGTAAGTGGGGTAGCAGATCGGGGAGGAGGGCCAGCCAGGCAAGGGGACCCCAGGCTGCCAGACTGCAGAGCAGCTGCCTCCTCGGTGGAGAGATGACAGGGCTCCAGACTGGGAAAAAGCCTGTCCGCCATGCAGGGAAGGGCAGGGTAGGGCAGCCCAGCTCCCTTTCTATAGTGCTCTGTGGCAAGGGGGCCACTAGGAACTCCAGCTCCTCACTCTACGGTCACCAAGCCCCCCTCTGTGTCCAGCCTCATGCTGGGCCTAGAGGGGACAGGAAGGGGCAGATCAGATTGGCAGTGGCATGGTCAGACACTGGAGCGCTGTGTTTGGTAGCATGTGCTCCTTCCTGGCTCGGGAGCTGTGGCTTTGAGGAGGGCTTTGAGGAGGTGATGGAAACCCAGGAAGTCAGGGAGGGCTCCCTGGAGGAGGCAGCAGAACCCCCAGGCATAGAGCTCAGCTGCTGACCCGCCTCTTTCCCTTCTCCCCAGTGCCTGGATCCCTGGCCGCAGCTAAAGCAGCCAAATACGGTGAGTGCACCCCACAACTGCCCTGTTCTCTCGCTGCATCCCTGTCCCTGACAGCACAGGGCTGGCTGGTTTCTAGAACACATCAGTGGCAGTCTACAGACCTGGCCCCTGCCCACCACATGCCTATGGTGCCTCCAACCCCTGGGACAACCCAAAACATGCCTCAGATTTCCAACGCCCCCCGGGGGAAGCTCAATTCCACCATGGTCAGAACCACAGTCCCACAGGCCCCGGGGCCAGGGAGGGGCCAGGGCTGCCGTAGGTGTGAGGGGGCGGCCTCCACCTGCTCCCCCAACGCTCTGGCCGAGTGGAGGAGCTGGTGTTCCTCATCTGAGCACCCCAGCCGCCCGCCCGCCTCCCTGTCGGCAGGACTGCGGCCACCACGAGCCAGCACTGAGGACGTGGCAGACCTGCTGCCTCTCCACTTGGCACGGGCAGTCCCGCCTGGCCAGCCTCACGCTGTCTGTGGCCCCAGCATTCCTGGCCTCCTGCAAGCCAAGGAGGGGGGCCTCTGCCAGGGATCCACCAACCCGGCCTGCCGGCAGGTCCGCTTGGGGCCAGTTTCCACCTCGGAAAATCCCGGCTTCTCAGCCACCACCCCCAGCGACCGGGCTCCTCTCCCGTTCACTGCTGGCTGCTGAGCCCGGCTGGCCTGGCCGAGTCAACAGACAGTGCCAGGGGAACAAAGTGGTGTCCTGCCACAGGGCAGCGAAGGGCTCGGGCTTCCCAGCCACTTCCTGCCTGCGGAACCCTTAGCACGTTGCTTAACCAGTTCTGTGCCTCAACTTTCTCATCTGCAAAATGGGAATGATAACGCTGCCACCTTTCCCGGCACAATACATAATAAACAGGCTGAGACGAGGGAAGCACTTAGGACTGCCAGTGTCCCCGCTAAGTGCCAGCTGTAAATACTGTTGCCACCACTCTTAGCAGCTCTGCACTGCCCAGTGACTCAGAACATACAGAGTTCACGGGGCGTGCCCTTCTCTCTCCAACACCTGTAAGCTTGGCAGGGTCTCATCACCTCCTTGAGGGACACGGGGACTCTGGTGCTCAAAGAGACAATAGCTATAACAAGTGGAGAAACCAAGATTCTTAACTGGATTCGAACCCAGAGCTGTCAGAACCCGAAGCTGGTGTTGCACACTCTGCGGCACCCGGTACTACCCGAGGACAAGGACAGGGCCACTGTCCTGTGTCACAGATGGGAAGGAAAGCCCTGAGGGGTGGAGGGGTCACCCTTGCCTGACTGATGAGGGCAGAACCAGGACTCGGACCCAGGGGCTTAGGAAGGGACTTTCTGTCCCGTGTTCCTCCCACTGGGCCACATGGCCTCTGCCACCCGTCTGCTTGCCTTGTGTTCCCGGGCCAGGGAGACCCGTCCTCAGAAACGGGGACTGATCTGTCCTCTCTCTCTGCAGGAGCAGGAGTCCCCGGGGCCCTTGGAGGGGGTCTTGGTGGAGTAGGTGTCCCAGGCGGCGTGGCAGGTGAGCTGAAACCCCAGGGTGGGCGGGTGGGGAGGCTGACCCCACAGAGTCCCTCCCTGAGCTCCCCTGTGCCCCCAGGAGCTGGACCTGCTGCCTCAGCTGCTGCCGCTGCCAAAGCTGCTGCCAAAGCCGCCCAGTACGGTGAGCGCTTGCTGCAGTGGGTACCCCCGCCAGGCCCCAGGGTTTGGGGAGCTCCTGCCCTGGCACTGTAGAGTCAGAGTCCCTGACCTGCCCCAGAGCCCCGCGGGGCCCAGCGCACCTGCTGGCCCCTCTGCGCCCTCGAAGGCCCTGGGAGCTCAGGCTCCACCTGGGCGCTGAGAAGACACCCACCTGTCCCCTCCGCAGGCCGAGGTCTGGTCCCACTCCTCCGGCCAGCGGGGTTTAATGCTCAGCTCTCTCCACAGGCCTGGGGGGCGTCGGTGGGCTCGGAGTTGGGGGACTTGGTGCTGTCCCAGGTGCTGTCCCAGGTGCTGTCCCCGGTGCTGTCCCTGGTGCTGTCCCTGGTGCTGTCCCAGGTGTTGGGGCCTTGGGAGGTGAGAGCTGCTCTGAAGCCAGGGAGTGTGTGAGTGTGCGAGAGAGACTTTCTGTCCCGCCTCCGCCATACCTTTGGTCAAACTGTCCCTCTGCCCTGCCCTGCCCACACCCCACCCCACCTGCTTCTTGGGGTGTGTGGGCCCCACCCTCCCCCCCAGGCCCAGGCAGGGTTCGGAGAGGGGCTGGAGCAGGTGGGAGCCAGAGTTGCCCCCTGCGGCCAGGGCCTGAGCCTCTCCCTCCCGTCTCCCAACCCAGCCCCCCAAAGTGGGGTGAATTAGGGGAACGATGGCGATAACCATTCTCCAAGAAGGAAACCAAAGCTGGGAGGGAAGTCCCTTTCCCCAAGGCAGTGCCATCACAGCAGGCCTTGTGTTGACAGCCCCTCTCTCAGGTTGTCCCCGAGTCTCTGTGCCTACACTGGCCCAAGGGGCCCTTCCTTCCTATGTGCTCCATGAGAACAGACATGTACTAGGAGCTTAGTGATGACTTTTGGAGCAATGGATGGATGAAGCAGGGGTGGAGGAGGTGGGAGGCTGAGTCAGGGGGTGGTGACTGGTGAGCAGATGCAAAGAGAGGCCTGACTGGGAGGAGGTGGCACTCCTGAGCCCTCACCTGCCCTGTCTCCCCAGGTGTGTCCCCAGCTGCAGCTGCTAAAGCAGCCAAATACGGTGAGTGCCTCCCCTCCCCCCGTCTCCCCCTCCCAGGCCCGCCACCCCCACCTGTCCCAGCCAGGCTCCCAGTAGCCCTGAAGGTCTGGTCCACGATATCCCTGACCCTAAAGCCCACAGGGATGGCAGGGCCTCTTGCAGATGGGGGTGCCTTGTCCTGACCCCATCTGCCCTCCTCAGGCGCTGCTGGCCTCGGAGGTGTCCTAGGAGCCGGCAGGCAGTTCCCAGTTGGAGGTAGGGCCTCACCTCTGCCCAGGTGTGGGGGAGGTGGCTGGCTGGCAGCAGGGGCTCCTAGAGCCTGTGTCGTCCACACGAGGACATGAGACGGGCAAAGGGGCAGGCCACAGGGTTGCAGACAGTGCCAGGCTGAGCTCAGAGCTGAGGCCATGGGGTGTCACACCTGGGTGCTAGGAGGGGACACTCTGGGTTGAGAAAGCCACTTTGGATACATTGGGGGGATGGGGAGGAAGTGGTCCCAGACAGAGAGGCCTGGGAAAGCCGGTGCTCGTGCAGGCCAGAGGGAACAGGCTAGAGCAGGGCCCAGCCCCACCGAGCCCAAATCTCTCCCGCAGGAGTGGCAGCGAGACCTGGCTTCGGATTGTCTCCCATTTTCCCAGGTAGGCCAGGCTCCCAGCCCCGGGCCCTGCCCCGGAGCTCTGGCCGCGTCCTTCCTCCTCCCCTGCTCCGTCTCCTGCTCAGGAGGCTGAGCCAGCACCAGGGGTGGACCCCATGGCCTCAGGTCACAGGAGGCTGACATAACTGCCTCCCTCTCTTAGAAGCACAGAGACCTTCAGCTTTTCTAAAACACACTTCGAACCTCTCAGGGTCCCCGGGGGACAGAGAGCTCTCCCACCATGTCCCAGATGAGGCAAGCTGCACATCAGGGCATGCCAGGGAGCACTGCAAGGCCACTCAGTGGGAAAGGCAGAGCCCAGGACTCCGGGCACCCAGCCCAGCACTTGGCCCTCTCACCCCACGCCCCCGCACTGGCCTAGGCTGGGCCCGTGCTGTCGGGAGGGCTCGGCGGGCTCCCCAGAAGTGAGCACACTCACAGCCCTCTCCTTGCCTCGTAGGTGGCGGCGCTGGGGGCCTGGGTGTCGCTGGTGAGTCTGCAACAGGAAGGCAGTGATGCCTGGAGGGGCCCATGTCACACAAGGCCCGGGGCCCTGAGCTCCTTTACAGGGCCCAGTGGGTCCTGCCGAAGGAGTGGCTGGTGTGGCCGTGGCCCTGGGATGGTCCTCTGGTGCTGGGGGCTTGAGGAAGCCTCCAGGGGAATTGCAGAGGCCGAAAGTTCAGCCCTGGGATGTGGGGACAGGAGCCAAGGGTCCCAATTCCTGGGATTCCCACTTGGCACTTGACTAGGCACAGAGAGGGGGACAGGCACCTGGGTCGCCCCAGGACTCACGGTCTAGCTGGAGAGGTGGACAGGTCCCACAGAGAGGAAGACAGGCTGTGTAAGGAGAGAGCTGCCTGGGCAGGGTGGGTGGCGGGTCCCCAGCAGTCAGATGTGCACGGCTGAGACCGGGAAGCAGGTCAGGGGTGACTGGGGGTGACAGGTGCCTGCTAAGCTGCTCAGGCCACCATCGGCAGGAGGGGGCACCCTGGGGGGCAGGGATCCTTGGGAACCTGTGGGGGTGCTGGGAGAGACAGGAAAGCCCAGCCCCTCCCCAATCCCTCCCTCCCTCCCTCCACAGGAAAACCCTCCAAGGCCTACGGAGGGGCCCTGGGAGCCCTGGGATACCAAGGTGAGTGAGATTTGGCCCCTGAAAGAGGCGGGGCAGGGAGAGGCTGGGCCCACCAGCCTGGGCCAGGGAGAGGGGCACAGGAGAGGCCTGGCAGGCAGCGGGAAGGTGGGGGAGAAGGATTCCTCCCACCCATCCTTCCCCCTCCAGCACGGCATTCAGAGCTGGGAGCGGCCTCAGAGCTCTCCAGGCTCCCCCAGCCAGGCCTGGGTGTCTCCCCAGGTCGCCTCACCTGCTGCTGCAGGGAGGAAACTGGGAAAGAGACGAGAAGAACTTGGAGGGACAGGGAAACAGAAGAGATGGGGCCACCAGAGCCCTAAATCAGGGAAATCTGAGAGCGTGGGTTGGGGTGGGGGACTCCAGGTGCCCTCGGCTGGGCATGGAGGGCAGAGGCCACATGCCCCTGGGGCTGAGCCGCGTCCTGGTTCAGAGATGCAGACTGCCTCTGGGGAGTGCGTGGGGCGGGGCTGTGCCCCCAAGGAGTTCCAAGGGAGCTGCAGCTGCACCCCGTGGTGGCTCAGGACAGTGAATTCCCTCCCACCCACCCCCACCACGCAGATAAGGCAGCTGAGGCCATAAGTGGGAGGGGCAGAGGCAGGACCAGGCCGACCCTCTCCTGGTGCCCAGCTTGCCATGGGGACCAGTCTTGCTTGTGGCCCCAGCAGGGTGCTGTCTGGAGACAGAGGCCTGTCCCTGCGCTGCACCCTCATGCTGCCACCAGGTGGCAGTAACGAGCCGCCTCTGTGTGAGCCGGGGCAGGAGGTACACAGGCTCTGCCACCAGGCAAAGGTGCCTTTCCTGCCTGGGGGGATGTGGGGGGGTGCCAATCAGACCCTGCCCAGCACAGAGCAGGAGTCCAGGGTTGAGTCCCAGCCCAGCCACTGGCTCTGTGGAAAAGTCCCTTCCCCCGTCCCCCGGGCCTCCGTTTATTGCTCCCGTCTCCCCTGCACGGGTCCCCCACTCGCTGCAGGGCCCCTCCTCCGGACACTGACTCTCCCTCCATCCCATCTGCCCTGACGGGCTGCTCCCAACCCTTCCCTAAAAGGCTCCCCAGGCGCAGTGGACTCAGGGTGTGGACACCTTGTCATGCTTGGTTCCCACGACCTGGCCCCTTCCCCTCTCTGAGCCTCGGTTTCACCAACGATCTTGGGGCCTGCCCCCACCCCACCTGCCCAGTGAGAGTTAGTACAATGGGCGGGGTCAGAGTTCCTCCTGGGGCGTGACCTGACTCTTCTTGGAGCCTGTGTCCGAGGAGCAGGACAGTGGTCAGGGCCTTGAGCTGCAATTGGGAAGGGCCAGACTGACCGCCAGGTGCGCCTCCCCTGATCCAGGTGTGCCCTGCCTGGGGAAAGCCTGTGGCCGGAAGAGAAAGTGAGCTTCCCAGGACCCCTGACTCGCGACCTCATCAACTTTGGTGCTACTGCTTGGTGGAGAATGTAAACCCTTTGTCACCCCACCCCATGGCCCCCCAGTCCCCACCCCAGGAGGGAACGGGCAGGCCGGGCAGCCATGGAAATCCACAGGACAAGGAAACAAGAGAGCGGTGGCCCAGGGCCCCGACCCCGAGGCCCCCTACTTCAGAGGCGGGGGTGGGCCTGGCCCCCGCCCCCTCCTCATGCCACCCAGGCGCTCCACACACACAGCCTCCATCTCCAGGGAAACTTGGTGCTACATACCGGTGCTCCCGTCCTCCAGGGGAGGGAGGAGGGAAGGGCAGCCCCTCGGGGACCCCCTCCCTGGGGCTCCCTTGAAGATGGTGCAGACACTTCCGGGCAGTCCGCCTCCCCCTGCCCGCCAGGACCCATCCCTGTCTGGCTGCGGTCCAGTTGGTACCCAAGCACCTTAAGCCTCAAAGCTGGATTCGGTCACATCATCCCCCCTCTCCTTGGTCCACCTCGTCCCCTCGCCCCCACCGATTGCTGTTCCCCACATCTGGGGCACCTTCAGGTCGGAAGACCACCCCCACTGGGAATAGACCCCCCTTTGCTCTTGTGGAGTCCGTTCGCCTGTCCGCCCATCCACCCATCTGCCCATCCGTCCATCTGTCCGTCCACCCGCCCTTGTCCCCATTTGACTGCCCAGCACCACTAGCTGGCTGGGCACACCCTCCATCAACCCCCCCACCCCGCCACCTCCCTCATGCTCACCCAGGGTGTGCAGGGCTGTGGACGGGGCAGGTGTCTCTCCCCACCGGGGTCTCCCCACACGCAGTACTGTATCCCTGTCCCTCCCTGGAGCCACTGTCCTTCAGAGTGGTTCCTCCCCTACCCCGCCCATCTCTTTGTGTCTCGCTGTGATAGATCAATAAATATTTTATTTTTTGTCCTGGACATTTGGGGAATTATTTTTGATTGTTGATGTTCTCTTTTGGGTTTATTGTTGTGATTAATTGAAAGAAAAAAATTTTTTTTTCTGATCTGGGGAGCTATATCTCCAATAGAAAATTCATTTTAATCACTTTGGTATAACTCGGGATAAAACACACCTTTTTAAAAAAAATATAAGGAAATTAACTGCTTCTGAAAAGACTAATAAATGAAAACCTTTTAAAGGAAACTGTGCCTTGGCCTTCTTTGTCCTCTTCCATCTGCCATGGCTTGTCCGCCACCCACGGTGTCTTTGGGAGACTGCTACACAAAGCACCTGCTGCTGGCTTCTGGGGCATCGAAGCTTCTCCAAGTCCAGCTTGTCCCTTAACAATGACATTCCCTTCGTAGAGGAGGCAGGGCTGGCGGCTCTCCTCCATGGAGGTGGACTCCACCTGCCCCTGCGTTTGCCCCACAGGCCCAAGTCCTTGAGCACAGGCCTCCCAACACGGAGGGTGCGGTCAGAGGGGGGAGGAAAGGAAGCTGACCCTCCCGTCCAGACCCAGCCTTGGTGAACCGCTGCATAAAGACAGGAGGAATATCTGACCTAAGAAAATTCAGAAGATAATCAAGGGACACCTGTTTGCCCCTGAAACAGTCCCTTCTAAAAAAGACCCACCCTCATCCATGGCCTGTGTACGTCACCATTTTCTCCTTTGTAAACTGAAGGAAATGACACTTTGCAGGTGGCACCAGGGGACTCAGCACCCCCCTTCCATGCACCTATCCCCAGAGCCCATCCTCCCCACCTCGGGGCCAGAAATCCACAGGGCCTGGAACATGCCCCTCTGTGGACCATGCTCTGGGTACCAGATTCCAGAATCCCCTCCCCAAACCACTGAGCCTGCTCCCAGGGTCTGTATGGCCTCACGCCTGCATCCATCCTCCTGAGAGGGACCCTGTTGCCAGTGTGCACACTCTGAGCCAGAAGGGCGGCCCAGGAGCTATTTGTGTGTGGGGGGGGCTTACTGCACAGACTGGGGTATCTGTGCATTTGCTCACAAGCACCACGGTGATACCAAAAGGAGTTGGGATGGAGAGAGAAAGCCACTAGGCGTGACACTCAGGAAGAGCTTCCCAGAGGATAGGAAAGGGCAAAGGGGGCTCCAATCATCCAATCATCCACCCACCCATCCACCCATCCATTCATTTCCTTTTTTTTTTTTTTTCACTGAGACACTCACTCTGTCACCCAGGCTACAGTGCAGTGATATCATCACAGCTCACAGCAACCTCAAACTCCTGGGCTCAAGCCATCCTCCTGCTTCAGCATCTCAAGTAGCTGGGACTACAGGTGTGCGCCACCATGTCCAGCCTTAATTTATTAATTTCTTCACTAAACAAAATCATCCTTTGCTGGTTCCACCTCAGCTCTCTGGCCTCCAAAAGCTGAATGCAAGCTCAAGCATTCAGCCCTGGGCACTCCCCGCCTTGATTTCTCATAGCGCCTGGCTTTAAACACCACCCTGCATTGGAAATTCCTAAGTTGACATCTGCAGCACGGAGCCTTGCCCTGAGCCCAGGACTTGCTCACCCAAGGCCAATTCTAACTTCTCCACCTGACGTCCCACAGACATGTCCTAGGGAGCCAGGATCCCCACCACCCCCTCGCCACCTCTCCCGTCTCAGCAAAGGGCAGCCCAGCGGCTCAGGCTGCAACTCTGGTGCCATCTCTGACTCTGCTCGTCTCTCCGCAGATCCTGCAGCAGGTCCTGCGGCACGGCCTTCAGAACACATCCAGAGTCCAACCACTGCTTACCACCTCGGGGCTGCACCTGGTCCCCATCGTCTCTTGCCTGGATGACTGGAACAGCTCCCTGGCTGGGCTCCCCGGCTCCCCTTCCGCCTTCTCGCCACCCAGCAGCCAAAGCAATCCTTTCAAGACATGAGTCAGTTCAGGTCATGCACCTGCTCAAAATCCTGCAGTGGCTCCCTGTGTCCCTCAGAGCCAAAACCAGAAGCCTTTCAGTGGCCAAGGAGCCCCTACCTGCGTGGCACCAGCAGCTGTGTCCTCACATCCTGCTACTCAGCCCTCCAGCGCTCTGCCATCCCCTGTGCTCCCTGGCCCTCTTGTCCTTGAGCACAGCAGGTCACCCCACTGCTGGCCTTCCCATCTGCTATCTCTCCTGCCTGGAACACTCTTCCCTTGGCCACCAGTGCTCCTGCCTCCCTCACCTGCTTCAGGCCTTAACTCAAGTGCCACCTTCTCAGAGAGTCCTTCCCTGACCCCTTTCTATACCTGCAAACTGTGCCTTCCTCCCCTGCTCTCCCAATTGTCCCTGCCTTCTTTTTCTCCACAGCACCTGTCGCCATGCTGCAAAACATATTTTCCTTCTTTGTTTACTGACTCCCTGCACCAGACTGTAAGCTCCCTAAAAATGGGCACTGTTTTAAGAACAAAACAGATGAAAAAATGTTGCCTTCATTAATTGCATACTGCAGTAGAAAGATGATAAGGGAATGTGCAGGGCTGATAATGACCCCAAAGAGAGCCAGGTCCTAATCCCGGGAAGCTGTTAAGGTCCCTGTATTTGCTTCCTAGGCTGCCGTAACAGAGTACCAGGAAGTGGAGAGCTCAAACCACATAGATTTATTTTCTCACTATTCTAGAGGCTAGCAGTCTCAGATCAAGGTGTTGGCAGGTCTGTTCACTTTGACAGCTCTCTCCTTAGCTTGTAGATAGCTGTCTTCTCCCTGTTTCTTTTCTTTTTTTACTATTTTTTTATTTCATGGAACGCTTCACGAATTTTCGTGTCATCCTTGCTCAGGGACAATGCTAATCTTCTATGTGTCGTTCCTATTTTAGTGTATGTGCTGCCGAAACAGGCACTCTCCCTGTCTTCCTAAGGTCTTCCCTCTGGGCATGGCTGTGTCCTAATCTTCTTTTCTCATAAGGACACCAGTCACATTGGATTAGGGCCCACCCTAATCACTTCCTTTTGATTTAGTCACCTCCTTAAAGACCCTAACTCCAAATATAGTCACATTCTGAGATAACTGGGGTAAGTACTTCAACATCTGGATTTGGAGGAGACATAACTAAGCCCATAGGATTTACCTTGTATGGAAAAAGGGTCTTTGTAGATTTGATTAAGTTAAAGATCTTGAGCCAGGTAGGCCATAAATGCAATCACAACTGCCCTTATAGGAAGCTGGAACAATTGTATGCCAACAAATTGGCAAACCTAGATAAAATCATAGAAACATACACCCTAGCAAGACTGAATCATAAAAGAAATAGAAAATCTGAACAGACTAATAATGAGTAAGGAGGTTGAATCAGTAATAAAATGTCTCCCAACAAAGACAAGCCCAGGACCAGATGGCTTCACTGGAGAATTCTATCAAACATTTAAAGAATTAACACCAATCCTCCTGAAATTCTTCCAAAAAAAATTGAAAAGAAGGGAACGCTTCCAATCTCATTCTAAGAAGCCAGCATTGCCCTAAAACCAAAACCAGACAAAGATACCAGAAAACTCCAGACCAATATCCCTTATGAACAATATCCCTTATGATGCAAAAATACGCAACAAAATTCAATAGCATATTAAAAGGATTATACACCATAACCGAGTGGGATTTATTCCTGAAATGTAAGGATCTTTCAACATACAAAATCAACTAATGTAATAAAACATATTAACAGAATAAAAGACAAAAACCACAGGATCATCTCAATTGGTGTAGAAAAAGCAATCTTTGACAAGATCCGACACCCTTTGATGATAAAAACACTCAACTAATTAGAAATAGAAGCAAACCACCTCAACCTAATGAAGGCTATATATGAAAAGCCCACAGCTAATGTCACACTCAATGGGGAAAACTGGAAGCTTTTCCTCCGAGATCAGGAATGAGACAAGGATGCCCACTCTTAACCACTTCTATTTAGAATAGTACTAAAAATCCTAGTGAGAACGATTAGGCAAAAAAAAAGAAATAAATGACATTCAAATTGGAAAGAAAGAAGTAAAATTATCTCTGTTCACAGATGATAGGATCTTATCTGTCAAAGACCCTAAGATTCAATACACACACACACACACACACACACACAAATTAGTTGTGTTTCTATACACTTACAATCTGAA